ATATCATGTCTGTTTTGAATAAGCTGTGTTTAATTAGGGACACATCCATGTGCAGTGATAGTATATGACTGACATGGACACAGACACAACAAATATGTTAGGATAACATTTCTTGAAAGGTTCAAAATGACAGGCATCTTTATTATTGTTGTGTTGCTGTATTATATAATAAATATTGTTATTTTTCAGGTTTCGTCAGTGCAAGCTGTGATGATGTGACTGGATCTGTGGGGAAAGAAGTAACTCTCACCTGTAGCATCTCTCAGCAGTACACTGATTGCTGCATTGTAATGTATATGTTTCAATACCCTGGGATAAATGACACCTTAATCTGTGCACAAGAGCTTCCTTGCAACCTCTGTGATCAGAGTAACAGCTTCTCATGCCGCTACACTCCAACTACAGCAAGGATGGAAAAAATAGTATTCTTTGTGCAAACAATGTGTGGAATGAAAAGAACAGAATTCTCTGTTAACACAAAAGGTACTACATACAACACTGTTGTTTATAAATCTGTACATTTATTTCAAATCTTCTAGCAATGGTTTTAAAAGTGGTTTAATTAACAGGGCTCATTAAACCTGAAATTGTCACTGAAGCTCCTGCTCCTGTCAAGAAAGGTATATATTCTATTATAGTTTTGATTATTTAGTAATAGATTAGTAAAATTTAGTAATAAAGCTTCTGAAAAGCAAGGTATTGTATATATTCCATTATAATTATTAATTACTCTTCTAGATAATTTATAGAAAACTACTCTTCAAACTCTTATCAGCATATTCATAGCTTTAAAATCACCTTTATTTTAGTGTTTAAAGTTTGTGGTTTCCAAATACGGACACAGAGTATTTTTAGAGACTGCACAGATATGCATGTGTCAAGAAATCAGTTTTATTAGATTTTTCAGCAGACATGCTTCTGTGGAGAATCTCAATGTCTGCCATTTTCAATTGTTTAAAGGTTTAAATTTAATGCACTTTTCCAGAGAAATTCAGCACTTTTCCAGCTCAGTTCAGCATAAGATCTAATAGGATTTTACACTCTAAAAAATGCTGGGTTAAATACAACCCAATTGCTGGGTTTGTCCCTATTTTACCCAGAACTGGGTTGTATTTAACCCAGCATTTTTAAGAGTGTACCCAGTGATGATTTTATCCTGGGGCTGGGAGACACACCAAACCTCCTTGTGATGGCATGAATGGATGTGCGATCCTGGAGGAGCTGTGCAACCTGATTGGGTTGCAGGTACTGCCTCATGCTACAAGTAGTGAGAAGGACCCTTCAAAACTAGAGACAAATCAGTCAGGAAGGATAGGGAGAGAGCAATTGTCTGTGGCCACTTTCTACAAAACCATTCCATTTTGGGGGTTCTCTTGTTGTTGCCTCTCCAGTGCACCTGTTGTAACATTCATTTGCACCAAAGCAGGAGAAACTGATTCACAATCACTTTTTCGTCATGACTGGACAGACTGAAAGTCCTGAAGTTTAATTGACTTGGTGTTATACTGTGATGATTAACTGTGGCCTTTTTGGAGCAGTGTAGTGAGGTCAAAGTGCCACACAGAGCTGATCTGTTTATATGACTTATTTATTTGTAAAACCAGTGAATTAAACTTATTCTGCAAGAAATATTTTGACATTTGATGTTAAATGTTGGAATGAAGAGATTTAGAATGAAGTGGTAAACATTCATTTTAGTTAGATTTTGGGATTTGTTGTCTGTATTTACTGTATAATTAACTCTTCCCAGCAAGACAATATATGTCACTGTATTATATAATAATAAACATTGTTATTTTTCAGATTTCATTGTAAGCTGTGAGAATGTGACTGGTTCTGTGGGGAAAGAAGTAACTCTCACCCGCAGCGTCTCTCTGCAGTGCACTGAATGCTGCATTACAAAGTATAAGTTTCAATACCCTGAGAACATTAATGACTCCGTAATCTGTCCTCAAGTTTTTCCTGTGAACAGAGGAACAGCTTCACATGCCGCTACACTCCAACTACAGCGATGACAGAACAATTCAGATTCTTTTTGCAAACAATTTGTGGAATGAAAAGAACAAATTTCACTGTGAACATAACAGGTACGGTATATGTTGCTTGTAATTCTGTACATTTATGTTTAATCTTCTTACAGTGGTTTAAAATCTGTTAACAGGGCCCATTAAACCTGAAATTGTCACTGAAGCAGAAGAAGGTCTGACTTTTGAGGGATGTCTTCAGTAATGCTTTTGCACTTTTAAAAAATTAAAATGATTTTTAATGTTAGTATTCTGTAACTGCAATTGTGTGGTTTTGTACAGTGTCTCATTGTTTTAAAATGAATGAATTGAATAAAAACTTGATACTCTGATTTTAAAGAAAAAAATTGAAATCCCTTTTTATCATATTAAGTTATGAAGGTGAACAGCCGCACAGAGCTGATCTGTATATATGCCTATTTATTTGTAAAACAAGTGAACTTATTCTGCAGGAAACCTGTAGCCATTTGTTGTTAAATGCTGCGAGATTTAGAATGATTTTAAGTGGTAAGCATATTCATGCTTGAGTCGGAGTTACTGTATTTACTGTATAATTTACTCTTCCCAGCAACAACAAAAAAAGGTCATGCAGAGCAACAGTCGCTAATTCCTAATTCTAATGAATTAATTCCACTAATTAAAATGCATAGTATAGACTTGTAGTGTAATTTGATTTGAGCCGTTTTAGGCTATTTTTGTCAATGTGCTGTTGCATTGATCTATAAAATAAATAAATAATACAAATAAAAAACTATTTATTTAGGTATATTTTTTTTCTTTTGTTTTATATAGATTTCTGTAGAGCAGTCTATTTTTATCTGTATAGGCCTAATTACATGCACAAGCCTGTGTAAAGATGCAATTTAAGATTATTTACATGCAGCATGGTTTCGGATTTTGCTGGTATTTTTAACAGTCTTAGGTTAGGGATGTCTTCATTTGAGATTTTGCATTTGATGTCGAATAGCCTAATGTTTAGTGGATTTGTATTTATTTGCTGCCTCCAGCCACACGAAATGAGAACAAAACTGGAGATCAGTGCGAATTTAAACTACATATTGACTGCGCGGGGTAAGATGTGTTTGTAGCTACTGGAAGCTCAAATGTGCTTGTTGATACTGACATGATTTTCTTTACTATTTGCCTTATTTGGTCTTTTTGCCACCGCTTCCGTGTGTGACGTAAACGGTGACGTAGACATGATTGGTCACTTGTGTTGCGATGTCAGCAGGGTTGCCAAGTTCGCGGTTTTCGTGCAGAATCGGGCTACTTGGGTTTTAAACTGTTGCAGCGGGTTGATTTTCTCCCCGCGGGTTAATGGTTTGAAAGTGCATAAATTGTATTTGACTGAAATGCTTGTATTGAAATATTGTATATTCTACCAATGATAAACCTGTGCGAGATTATACATTTTGTGAAGGAGGGCCTTTGAGTTGTGTTTATGATCGCTACGATACAGTGGTTTTCAGTTTGCATGACAGTGACTGTAAAATATGCATTTTAGGGATGGGAATTGCATATTTTGAGGTTTTATATTTGGGATGTGGTGATTGGCTACTTTTGGTCTATGATTTTCCCATTGGGCCATTTTGGTTACGCAGACCTGGCAACCCAGGAAGAGTGTGTCGACTGCTTGAGCCTTTTCTTTTTCTCTAAAATATTTCATGTTCGGCTGATGGAAATGAGGAATTTAAGAAACTGAGTCTGTGGACATATACCGACATTCAGGTGAGTTCAGCTGATGTAATGTTATATCGCAGTAGTTTTGTTGCCGTGCGCGAACGAAGCGATGTTGTTTTCTGTGTAGCTCATCGGGCGGTGTCCAAATCTGTAAAAACAACAACACAAGCATATGAAGACGATAAAACATTATTCCCTTAGCCTACAAGTGACCATCTTGATCAGTTTCTGCTGTTTAAACCTCAAATGAGAAAGAGAAAACAGCACTAAGTTAAATCTGAGTGATTTTGAAAGTGAAAGTAAGTTAACGTTACAGTTCACAGATGAAGACATAAAGTGAGAAAAAGTGAAGTGACATGTGGCCAAGTATGGTGACCCATACTAGGAATTAGTGCTCTGCATTTTTAACCCATCCAAAGTGCACACACACACCGTGAACACACACCCGGAGCAGTGGGCAGCCATTTATGCTGCGGCGCCCGGGGAGCAGTTGGGGGTTCGGTGCCTTGCTCAAGAGCACCTCAGTCGTGGTATTGAAGGTGGAAGAGATCGCTGTACATTCACTCGCCCCACCTACAATCCCTGCCGGTACCTTTGGGTTACGAGTCCGACTCTCTAACCATTAGGCCACGACTTCCCTCGACATACAGAGACAAATATGTAGTAAAAATCATATTCACATCGAGCGCAATTTTCCCTTTTAAATCGATACTCTGAATGTCTTGGAAGCGAAATTAGAGTATTCTATTAAATTTGAAATTTGAGTATTTCTTTACCCTGTCAACTGATTGGCCCTATAGGCCTGATATGTTGAAGACTGTATCTCTAAATGAAGATATATGATCATTTAATATGCTAGGCTATATGGGAATAACTAGTCTTAAACGGAGTAAATTGTTAGTTTAACCAATTAGAAATGAGCTACAGAGGTGACATCAAAACGGGATATTAAGTGTATTAACATTTGACAAACCTGTTCGAGTGATTAAGATTATACACGCACTGTCTGCTATGTTTTCATAATTGCTGCCCTATGTTTTATGTATGAATGTGCTGTTTTAGAATATTTACATTAAAAAGTTTGACTGTACTTTCAGTATATTCATAGCTGTATAACTGTCTGTTTTGCAGCTTTATTATCTCAAGCTGTATTCAGTAGCAGGATATGCACCATTTTTAATTTTTCAAGAATGAAAATGATACTGTGGTAGACTTTCCAAAACTAAAAGACAACAATAAAGGTATGTCTGAAATAGTAAGAGTAGTATGCTGTTTTGAACTGAACAGGGCAAGTGAGTCTTCATATAATGCAAATCTGTAATATAGAATATGTTAGGCAAGCATGATTTAACAGCCAAAGACATCCATCTGATTTCACTTTCATTATATGTACAAAATAACACTGAGGCGTAATAAATTAGTGGAGTGGTGTGACAACAATGCTCTTGTGATTGTATTTGGGTCAACATCTATCTATCTACCTACCTACCTACCTACCTATACCTACCTACCTACCTTCCTTCCTTACTTCCTTACTTCCTTACTTCCTTCCTTCCTTCCTTACTTACTTATTTTATGTTCCAGAGAAGAAAGTCAGTCACACAGGTTTGGAATGACATGAAGGTGAGTAGATGATGGCTGAATTTTCATTTTTGGATGAACTACTAATGTATCTAGTCATGGTTGGTTAAGCTTCAGTTTAGATCTAAATATTTGCCTTATTTTTTGCAGAAACAGTCATGAATGCTGCTAATGTTGTGCTGTTGTTCATACTGGTTTGGACTTTCACAGCTGTCTGTCAAGCTGATGAAGATAGTGAGAAAATACATTCTTCTCCCATTCTGAATAATTCACTTTCTCTAAAGATAATTTAACCTGCTGTATTATTGATAACACGGCTGCAGTATGTGACCCAGAGTAATGTGGTAGATGAAGAGTTGCAGACGGGGGAGTGGAAAACCTGTTTGGAAGCAGTCATTATTTTTGGAGTCCTTTTTGGTGGCCCTAATGTTGCAGAAGCGACACACTTCAACCTTAAGTTGATTGAATTTCTTAATGTGAAAAATGACAGAAATTAGTTTACTGTTGATGTATTAAACTGATAAATACATTATTTTTCAGTTGTCATTGTAAGCTGTGATGATGTGACTGGATCTGTGGGGAAAGAAGTAACTCTCACCTGCAGCGTCTCTCTGCAGCACACTGAATGCTGCATTGTCAAGTCAAGTCAAGTCACCTTTATTTATATAGCGCTTTTAACAATACAGATTGTGTCAAAGCAACTGAACAGCATTAATTAGGAAAATAGTGTGTCAATAATGCAAAATGACAATAGTAAACACTAATTTTCCAGTTAAAGACAGTTCATCATTGAATCAGTGATGTCGTAACAGCATTTGAATGCACCTAAAAAGATTATAGACTATTCTTAATTTTACTATTAAACTTATCAATCAGGTATTGTAATTGAGGCCATCGTCATCACTGCTGTAAGCTGTTTCATCATCATCATCATCACCGTTACTGCAATCACCTGTGTGAAGAGGTTCATAAGCACCAACCCTTCTGGATTACAGAAGAAATATGAAAGAGGTGTTTCTGAAGAACAAACAGTGATGACAACCAATGTTTAGAAAGAAACACTATGAAAACAGCAAATTGTGTTTAATCTTTCATGTAAACATCATAGATGTGATAATGTCCTGTTTAACTAAAGATGCTGAACTGTAAAATTCACATACAGTGTCGGCAACAATGATTGATCAATATATTGGTCAAACTAATGAATCAGCCAATATTTGGCTATGCGGAGAATATATCTGCATCGGATAATAATTCTGCCCTTGTGTTTTCAAAGACTTTAATGTATTTTAAGTAAATATTGTGTAAACTAAGTGTTTTTTTAATCATTTTTGAGCATCATTATAGCTGCATTGCATATGCCATTGCATTGACCTATTGTATTTGCATTATAATTTTTTATTTATTAAATTGCTGTTAAATTATGAAAGTGTCATGATACTCTAAAAATGGTCTAAGATCTATTTTTATCATTTTTAATAAACTTGTCATCAGTGAAGAGTAAGAATAAATCTAAAGTCTGTTCTGGTGTAAGATGAGTATAATACTGTTGCAATTAATTCATCTACCAGCAGATAGCATGTCCTGATATGAAGAAGTCAACTCTCTTTGACCAAAATGAATATCACATGAAATCATTTTTTAAACAGCACCTGAATGTACATAAACGCATCTTGTGTCTTGTTCTGAGGTGAATATACGCTTCATTCTGTTTTATTAAATTGCTGTTAAATTATGAAAGTGTCATGATACTCTAAAAATGGTCTAAAATCTATTTTTATCATTTTTAATAAACTTGTCATCAGTGAAGAGTAAGAATAAATCTAAAGTCTGTTCTGGTGTAAGATGAGTATAATACTGTTGCAATTAATTCATCTACCAGCAGATAGCATGTCCTGATATGAAGAAGTCAACTCTCTTTGACCAAAATGAATATCACATGAAATCATTTTTTAAACAGCACCTGAATGTACATAAACGCATCTTGTGCCTTCTTCTGAGGTGAATATATGCTTCATTCTGTTGTTGATTGAGTGTCATTTAGTGACTCTTGGTGGAGGATTGCTGCTGGTTTATTATTCCCAATGATGACAAAACTAATTTTGTTATAAACTGAAAGTAAAGAAAACACTATTATGTTTTGTTCAGTTTTTATTTCTTTGAAGTTTCTTTATTTTTTCACTTTGGTCCTGGTCTTTCATATGTGCTTCACTTGTAAAAGTTTGTGTAGACTTTCTTTTTCGTCTATAATGAAACACTCCAAACTTCCCATGTGAAGTTACTGATTGTGTTTTAGTAGGTAATAAAACAGCAATCATTTTGGAAGAAAGATTTTGCCTAATATAACAAAATTCATAATGGTTAATTTGGCAATTAGTGATGTAATATTTGATTTGCACATTGTGTGAATTAAAGCCTATTACATTTTTTGAGGGGTCATCTTTTGTAAAGGAGTTTCTTTAGTTTAGACACCACAGACTAGAGATAGATTATCATCATCATACCTACTCGTATATCATGATTTATCAGCCAACTGAGGCTTTTACACCTGGAATTCCTGTCAACATGACGCCAAGGGTTTGAGCCCAGCCCAGGCAAACAACTGGAAAAAGATGGGTGAGACTGTGACAGACACCCTAATGCAACATGGAAACACCTCGCTCGAGGCTCAACGGCGGATGCTTACATTGTTTATGATGGAAAATTATTCAACAGACTGCATTCATATTTTGACACGTGGTATAACGACTCAAGGTGCATTTAGAGCTGATGCAATCCATTAAAAACCTGTTTACCTTTGATGGAGAGATTTTGACATGACATCTTCTCTCGTAGGTGGATAAGTGTTTATCCAATTAATTTTTATTTATAGGCTATATCACTTCTTACAATACGTGTTGTTCAAAACTAGTTTTACTAAAAAAAAAAAAAAAGTTCCTTACAAAGAAGAAAATCTCCCAATGTTTTCAGATTCTGAGGCAAGAACACCGCCTTCACCTTTTGAATGGAGGTCATGCGTATAATGGAGATGTAGAGCCATCAAGTCCAGTTATTAAAAATTCGAGACATATTAAACCGATTAATACGCAGATTCTAATAATCAAACAAGAAGCGAGCCAGTATATTTTCTATATTTGGTCTGTCATCATCATTAAGGCATGAAGGGGAAATTTGCAGGTTATTGACAGCGCCAACTGCTGGCCAAAAAATGTTATAACAACATAAACAGCTGTTTCTCAAGAATGTTCTCAGTCATGTTGAAAGTGAAAGTTTAGTAGTGGATCAGTGTTTATAAGCTCGTGTGAGCAGCAGAGAGAATCAGAGAGGAATGAACTCAGATGGTGAAGACACACAGAGCGCAGGTGAGCAATAACTCGAAATAAGTCCCCTTATATTTACAGTCATGGTCAAAAGTTTTGGCAGTGACATAAATTGTGTTTTGCAAAGTTTGATGCTTCAGTATTTTTAGATTATTTTTCCACATGTTTCTATGGAATAGGCCTTCTGAAAAACAATGATAAGCATATAAGTTTTAAAGGCTTTTATTGGCAAAAAATATATATAATGAGTTAATATTTACAGGGTTAACCCTTAATAACCTCTGCAATTCGCTCTGGCATGCTGGATATTAGCTTCTGGGCCAAATCCTGACTCCAAAATCCATTCTTGCCTTATTAGTTCTCGGAGTTGATCACAATTTGTGGGCTTCTGCTTGTCCACTCGCCTTTTGAGGACTGACCAGAGGTTCTCTATGGGATTGAGATCCGGGGAGTTGCCTGGCCACGGATCCAAAATTTCAATGTAATGATCTTCGAGCCACTTCTTTATCACTCTTGCTTTGTGACATGGTGCTCCATCACGCTGGAAAATGCACGGATCATCACCAAACTGCTCATGGATCATTGGAAGAAGTCGCTCTTGCAGGACGTTTTGATACAGTTCTTTATTCATGACAGTGTTTTTGGGCAGAATTATGAGAGAGCCCACTCCCTTGGTTGAAAAGCAACCCCACAAATGGATGGTCTCAGGATGATTCACTGTTGGCACAACACAGCACTCATGGAAG